AAAAAAAAACGTTGTTTCTAAACTTTTTTCCACCACTTTATATATGTTCTCGTGTAAGAATAGAAATTGATAGGAATAGATTTAGTTTAAGTTGTGCTTAGTTATAATTCATATATAAAGACATTTACTATTCGAACATGAATTAGGCAGCTATTCAAAAAAATTAAAATACTTCGCGTAAAACTAAACCATGAGAAATATTTTCTGCAACCATAAATGCTGTAACAAGATGTGATACAGCACCAGCTTCTCCACAATGTGGACGAAATTGATATGTATTTAAACCACGTGTTCTAAAAATAATGGAGAATTTTTATTTTATAGAAATAAAAAACAAGAATTTCGATTCCTAACTTTCGAAGTTGATTAAGTGTAAGAATATTTGCGTACATATAAAACTAAAAATATTCAAATATAAAGACAAATAAATATGATTATAGACTTTATACTAAATAATAACTATAAGGTGGATTTTCATTTATATTCCATTCATCTGGATATGCCATATCATGTGTCATTGTTAATTTTTCAGGTTTTGATTCATCATCAACTGAATCAAAACCAGTAAAATGACTCATAAACTGAAATAGATCTGGATGTGATTCGGGATTAATAGTTGCATCAAATAATGGTTGAAATAAATTGTTTAAAAATGCTTGAAAATTTTTTATTATACCATTTGCATGATAAACATCACTGAGAAAAAGAATTTCAATCTTTTTTTTATTGTAAACATTTTTTCATTAATGAAACATACTAAATACGTGGCACTTGTATCATCCAAGCAACATTAGTCGAATACATTTTATTTGTAATAAACCATTTAGCTAATTTATCCCATTCATCGATACTTTTACCATAGATTGACAAACGAGGTTCAGCATGTTGATATTTATTTACTTCTAAATCAGCTATAACTTCCTTGAAAAAGAAAATATAGAATTTATTTCTATTTTTTTGTTCGTTTGGAGAAATGAAAAATATTACTTTTAATAGATCAGCAAAAAATATACCATCAATATAATTATCAGTTTTCATAAAAATTTCTCTAGAAAACGAAACTTTGACACATAAAATTGATAGAATTATCTATATTACCGTAACATAATTTGACCAAGAGGATTATATTTTGAATTAAAACGATCGAAACGTTGGAATGTATTTCGATCCTAAAAAAAAGTTGTTTTTTTGTTATAACTTATTCTGGTTCTAGATTTACAAGAAAACTTCTTCGAATGGTTTCTTTTGTCTATAGATGTGCACAGTATGTTAATAAAATTTCTAAACTGATTCACGTTGCTATTGAGATTCGGCGTGACTATTGAAGTTTTTATACGTTCATTTGTCAGAAGATCCTTTTAGAACTTCACGATTTTGCAAAACTCGAATTAGTCTTGAGATTATCTGTATTTAAAGGTTTGACGTACACTAAGCAGATCAAAACAGTTTCAGGATGTAAAGTCTGCCTATCGTGGATGACGAGACGTTTTGAATTATAGTTATAGTAGATTGTAGAGTTCGATGAGCTGATTCTTATAATATAAAGCGTTCTTCCTCGTAGAACCTTTAAGCAGACTAAACCAATTAATTCTATTCATCTAAAAGCACATTCGAGACATTGAATACCAAAGTCTTTTGTGCAATAGAGTTCGAGAGATAATAGTTAATTATTAACTATCTTACTTTTTGTTGTACATTTCCACTTGATAGACTCAGAACTGTCGAATGATGTCTTAATCTGTATTGTAGAATGCTGCTATGATTACACAGATCCATTATTTACATATTATGCTATGAGAAACATCAATAATTCTGAGAGAGGGCATTATACTTTGGACACTTCTTTATTTCGTACTCAGAAAATAAGAGCAAATAGGGCTTAAACTACAGATATATACAACAATATCCTCTCTCAAAATTATAGATGTTTGTCATAGTTTAATATGCAGACAGTTCATCTATGTAGTGATTTCAACATTCTACCATACAGATTGTTTTGAGTCTATGAACTAATAACGCAAAACAAAAAGTAAGACAATTATTGATTAAGTTTTATTCTTCGTACTCTGTTACGAAAAAAAAAAACTTCAATATTCAATGTTTCGAATGTGTTCTTCCACGAGTAGTATCAATTGGTTTTATTTACTTAAACGTTTCACGAGAAGAAACGTTTTATATCATTGGAGTACATCCGATTCAAATCGCTGCATCACATTTGAATAAAATTTTCCGTGAGTTATGAACTTATCCTTAATATACACTTTTTGTCTAGTGACAGATTAAATAGCTCAATATCCTTCTTACAACTAATACTAGCTGTGATTTTTGACAGAAGACTGAGCCTAATGTAGAGTTCTTGTGCTCAATAATATTGAGCGTTTCATTCATACTATAGGATAGATGATTGAAAATAAATAATAGTTAGTAACTTGTTCAGGGTCGTTTCAAGATTGATATTACTAAGGTTTGACAACAGTACTTTGTGAATACATGTTGAACAATACAGTTAATCAAGCATGAAGACTCTATAACGAAGTAATAACTCGCCAAATATCCTATCTTACATTGAATAATGTGTCTACATTTGTTCTATTCTATTATCATATTCAAGCTATAAAATTTAAACTCTTCTTCTTTTGTATTCAAATGAAAAATCAATCAAATTCGAATATTTAACATTATCTATCTCTCTTTTTTTTTTTTTTTATTAAACTGTGTCGTTTTTATAGACCACTTTAAACAATCTATTTCAACTTAAATCAATCAATAATCTGACTCAGAGAATTTCTTTTCTTTACTAATGATCCTTGATCAAAATCTTAATGAATTAGTTCTCTCATTTTCAAATTTTATATTATTTACTTACAGCATGAACACCAAGTAGATCTACATTTATATCATTAATATTAATTCTTAATTCATCAAAAACTTCTTTTAATGTCATAGTAGTTCCATCCTTTTTCTTACAAACTTTCATATTACTTGATACTTCCATTTTTTTCTTTATAAAACTTAATAAACATTTTTGATGCATTGATGATGCTGCATGAATGTGTGTATCAACTTTTCGAACATTATAAAAATCTCTATATGGTGTTGATTGAACTTCTCCCCATTCTTTAACTTCACTAAGTAAAGAATGTAAATCATGTTTAGTCTTAAGATATTGTAAACGACGATGACAAAATGATTGTAATGGACCATCGATAATCAGTTTTAATAAAATGATATAATCGTCAATGAATTCATCACGCTTAACGGATTTATAATCAGCTGGTATCCATTGTTTTTCTTCATTAAGTGTATAAGCATGATATATACCTCTTTCTGCTTTAACATGAACATCAATAGGTGGAGGTAATTTACTACTAAATGGATTTTCGAATTTTATAGCTGGTACAGAATATGGCTCAAGTACTTCTAAATAAGAAAAATTTTTATAATAACATAGTCCAAGGTTTTAGTTAAAAGTCATTTACAATACAATTTAAAAAAGAAGAGAATCGGATTTTTTTACTTTGGTTTTTATAAAGTTCAACAGTAAAAAAGAAAAAAAATTGGTATTAGAGTTTTTTTTTCATTAGTTTTATGAATATTATTAAATGCTAGTTGCTTTTAGTTCGTATGTAAATGTACAGATTCATCAATTCGTTCAAATAACGCTTAATTACTCAGAGAAACAAGATTTTTTTTAAAAATAACATTCTAAATATATAAAAAGAAGGTATCAGGGCATATAAGTATAAATCAATAAATAAAAGAATATGTGAGTCGAAAGAGAAAAAAAATAAACAATAAGGCTATAATGCAACGAAAAACAAAACTAATCATAGATACCAACCATTACTATGTCGCTTGACATTTAACGATGTACGTCGTGATAGATCATCTTCTTCTAATATTCTAGTTAAAAAATTTATAACCGTTGATGGATATGATTGGAAACTACGTAACATATATCTTTTATAAAAGTAAAATATATGTTTAATTTTCAAAAACAATTTAAATCATACTTTTCACGAATAACCAAAGCACGAAGTAATGGACTTACAGAATCTATTAGGTCTTCAATAAATAACATGTCATACGCATCGCCAGCTGTTTTCATTACTTGAAATACATTATGTACTATTTTTGTATTAGAATTTGATGTACTTGTTGAAAATGTTTCTACACGTTCAACTTCAAATGTTTTATTTGTTTGATTTATTGAATCGATTAGCTCAGAACTCTCTTTAATTTGAAATGTATTTTCAGAATCAATTAGTGTCGTAATTTTATGTTCTTGATCAGTATTTTGATGATCATTCGTTCTATAAGTAAAAATTAAATGTTAAGAATAGAAAAGAAAATTTCTTAACTGATGTTCTTCATCACGTTGAACTTCATTGTCTAATGAACTACTCCTTACAATTGGTATTTCTGTTTCGAATGTTTCGAAAGGAAGAGGCTGATTAAAATGAAAATTACAACGTTTGTTAAGTTCATTAAGAACATTGTTAAGAGATGACATAGCTGCTGAACGATGAATATGATTAGAATCGATCGATTGTTTGCAAACTACAAGACATATATTAAGTTTTATTTATAAAAAAAAACAAAAACTAATTCAAGTATTTTACTTTCTTTTGATTGTTCTTGTTGTGATGATTCGTGTAATAATCGTGTATTAAGGGCATTTACTGAATCGGCAAATGTTTCTTGACTTTGTTTTTCATTAGGAAAAAGTATTGATGAAATTTCAGCGGTAATTTGGCCGTTCAAATCAGTAGAATTTGTATTCATTTTTATTATGTATTTCAAAAAGAAAATGATGATAAATATGCTATTACTATTGATGTGCAATCGCACTTGACATAATATGCCCTAAAAAATATTGTAGTCAATCGAATCACATATAGATAGGCAGAAATGTGAGTCGGTTATGAAGAAGTGACTGTGTACGACAAGAGAAAAGTATGTATGATAAAACGAGCAAAATTAAAGCGAGAAGAGAGAAAAAAAACCATCTCTCGTTGAGATTATCCTTGAATGCATTTGTTTTATGGTTTTTTTTGTGTGCATGACCGTATCGGTTTTATTTGAAAGTAGGAACATTGAATTCGATTGAAAGGGATACTTGAGAGCATACACAATTTCTTTGTTTTCTGTTTCATTTGATCAAGTCTTGTTTTGTTCATATCATTTTTTTTTATGAATGCATTCAAGAAGAAAAGTCATTAAATTATGTGCCAGACATGAATTGCATATATTTTTCTTTCTTATGATTAGTAACTATTAATATTGTGACTTTCAAATCAACACACAATAATCGATAGTATTTATCAAGGATATACTTATAATGTTCGATACGAAAATGCCTAAAACTAGTCGTTAATAATTCATAATTCCTAATGATACGCGTGTATAACTTTCCTATTGTTTTTACTGAAATTCAACTATAGTCATATCAAACAAAAGTAGAACTTAAATTTTGACTATTTTGCTGAAAAATTTGGTACATTTTGTTATTCATTCTATATTTGATAGACATTTGTATTTATATGTGATTGATGTATGATTGTGTAGTACAGGTTGTCTACAGCTTATACTATTGATATCGTTTCATTAATGATGAAAAGAAAAGAAATAAAACAAAAATAAATAAAAAAAGATTGGTTATGTTTTCAATCATCAGATTAATTTGATTTTTTTACTTGTATGAATGTATGATCAATAGAAACAGAATGTCATATACTATTATACTAGAGCATGAAATCAATTAATTACTTTGTTTCTTGGTCATATAAAATAGGAATAAATCTTTTCAATTTCATTTAACTTTCTTTGTATCTTAACATTTCTCTGAGATACAGTCAAAGGGAAAAATATTGGGAAACTAGACCGTCTCGAAGCTTTCTTAAAATCGATTTTTGTCTAAGTACTTGCAAATCGCATGAAATTTTCAGAATATGTCGGAGCTGCAATGAAGAAGCTATGATAGAGTTTTCAGCTCTATACCATAATGTTTGAAAGAGCTAGTCATCAAACACAGCGCAAAATTCCTATCATCACTCGATTATTTTCTTCTTCTATTTTATATGGCCAAGAAACAAAGTAATTAATTGATTTCATGCTCTAGTATAATAGTATATGGCATTCTATTTCTATTGATCATACATTCATACAAGTAAAAAATCAAATTAATCTGATGATTGAAAACATAACCAATCTTTTTTTATTTATTTTTGTTTTATTTCTTTTCTTTTCATCATTAATGAAACGATATCAATAGTATAAGCTGTAGACAACCTGTACTACACAATCATACATCAATCACATATAAATACAAATGTCTATCAAATATAGAATGAATAACAAAATGTACCAAATTTTTCAGCAAAATAGTCAAAATTTAAGTTCTACTTTTGTTTGATATGACTATAGTTGAATTTCAGTAAAAACAATAGGAAAGTTATACACGCGTATCATTAGGAATTATGAATTATTAACGACTAGTTTTAGGCATTTTCGTATCGAACATTATAAGTATATCCTTGATAAATACTATCGATTATTGTGTGTTGATTTGAAAGTCACAATATTAATAGTTACTAATCATAAGAAAGAAAAATATATGCAATTCATGTCTGGCACATAATTTAATGACTTTTCTTCTTGAATGCATTCATAAAAAAAAATGATATGAACAAAACAAGACTTGATCAACGAAACAGAAAACAAAGAAATTGTGTATGCTCTCATGTATCGCTTTCAATCGAATTCAATGTTCCTTCTTTTAAACAAAACCGATACGGTCATGCACACAAAAAAAACCATAAAACAAATGCATTCAAGGATAATCTCAACGAGAGATGGTTTTTTTTCTCTCTTCTCGCTTTAATTTTGCTCGTTTTATCATACATACTTTTCTCTTGTCGTACACAGTCACTTCTTCATAACCGACTCACATTTCTGCCTATCTATATGTGATTCGATTGACTACAATATTTTTTAGGGCATATTATGTCAAGTGCGATTGCACATCAATAGTAATAGCATATTTATCATCATTTTCTTTTTGAAATACATAATAAAAATGAATACAAATTCTACTGATTTGAACGGCCAAATTACCGCTGAAATTTCATCAATACTTTTTCCTAATGAAAAACAAAGTCAAGAAACATTTGCCGATTCAGTAAATGCCCTTAATACACGATTATTACACGAATCATCACAACAAGAACAATCAAAAGAAAGTAAAATACTTGAATTAGTTTTTGTTTTTTTTTATAAATAAAACTTAATATATGTCTTGTAGTTTGCAAACAATCGATCGATTCTAATCATATTCATCGTTCAGCAGCTATGTCATCTCTTAACAATGTTCTTAATGAACTTAACAAACGTTGTAATTTTCATTTTAATCAGCCTCTTCCTTTCGAAACATTCGAAACAGAAATACCAATTGTAAGGAGTAGTTCATTAGACAATGAAGTTCAACGTGATGAAGAACATCAGTTAAGAAATTTTCTTTTCTATTCTTAACATTTAATTTTTACTTATAGAACGAATGATCATCAAAATACTGATCAAGAACATAAAATTACGACACTAATTGATTCTGAAAATACATTTCAAATTAAAGAGAGTTCTGAGCTAATCGATTCAATAAATCAAACAAATAAAACATTTGAAGTTGAACGTGTAGAAACATTTTCAACAAGTACATCAAATTCTAATACAAAAATAGTACATAATGTATTTCAAGTAATGAAAACAGCTGGCGATGCGTATGACATGTTATTTATTGAAGACCTAATAGATTCTGTAAGTCCATTACTTCGTGCTTTGGTTATTCGTGAAAAGTATGATTTAAATTGTTTTTGAAAATTAAACATATATTTTACTTTTATAAAAGATATATGTTACGTAGTTTCCAATCATATCCATCAACGGTTATAAATTTTTTAACTAGAATATTAGAAGAAGATGATCTATCACGACGTACATCGTTAAATGTCAAGCGACATAGTAATGGTTGGTATCTATGATTAGTTTTGTTTTTCGTTGCATTATAGCCTTATTGTTTATTTTTTTTCTCTTTCGACTCACATATTCTTTTATTTATTGATTTATACTTATATGCCCTGATACCTTCTTTTTATATATTTAGAATGTTATTTTTTAAAAAAATCTTGTTTCTCTTAGTAATTAAGCATCATTTGAACGAATTGATGAATCTGTACATTTACATACGAACTAAAAGCAACTAGCATTTAATAATATTCATAAAACTAATGAAAAAAAAACTCTAATACCAATTTTTTTTCTTTTTTACTGTTGAACTTTATAAAAACCAAAGTAAAAAAATCCGATTCTCTTCTTTTTTAAATTGTATTGTAAATGACTTTTAACTAAAACCTTGGACTATGTTATTATAAAAATTTTTCTTATTTAGAAGTACTTGAGCCATATTCTGTACCAGCTTTAAAATTCGAAAATCCATTTAGTAGTAAATTACCTCCACCTATTGATGTTCATGTTAAAGCAGAAAGAGGTATATATCATGCTTATACACTTAATGAAGAAAAACAATGGATACCAGCTGATTATAAATCCGTTAACCGTGATGAATTCATTGACGATTATATCATTTTATTAAAACTGATTATTGATGGTCCATTACAATCATTTTGTCATCGTCGTTTACAATATCTTAAGACTAAACATGATTTACATTCTTTACTTAGTGAAGTTAAAGAATGGGGAGAAGTTCAATCAACACCATATAGAGATTTTTATAATGTTCGAAAAGTTGATACACACATTCATGCAGCATCATCAATGCATCAAAAATGTTTATTAAGTTTTATAAAGAAAAAAATGGAAGTATCAAGTAATATGAAAGTTTATAAGAAAAAAGATGGTACTACTATGACATTAAAAGAAGTTTTTGATGAATTAAGAATTAATATTAATGATATAAATGTAGATCTACTTGGTGTTCATGCTGTAAGTAAATAATATAAAATTTTCAAATGAGAGAACTAATTCATTAAGATTTTGATCAAGGATCATTAGTAAAGAAAAGAAATTCTTTGAGTCAGATTATTGATTGATTTAAGTTGAAATAGATTGTTTAAATTGGTCTATAAAGACGACACAGTTTAATAAAAAGAAAAGAGAGATAGATAATGTTAAATATTCGAATTTGATTGATTTTTCATTTGAATACAAAAGAAGAAGAGTTTAAATTTTATAGCTTGAATATGATAATAGAATAGAACAAATGTAGACACATTATTCAATGTAAGATAGGATATTTGGCGAGTTATTACTTCGTTATAGAGTCTTCATGCTTGATTAACTGTATTGTTCAACATGTATTCACAAAGTACTGTTTTCAAACCTTAGTAACATCAATCTTGAAACGACCCTGAACACGTTACTAACTATTATTTATTTTCAATCATCTATCCTATAGTATAAGAACTACTTTGAGATATTTATGTACTGTTTTAGTTAGTATGTATGAAACGCTCAATATTATTGAGCACAAGAACTCTACATTAGACTCAGCCTTCTGTCAAAAATCACAGCTAGTATTAGTTGTAAGAAGGATATTGAGCTATTTAATCTGTCACTAGACAAAAAGTGTATATTAAGGACAAGTTCATAACTCACGGAAAATTTTATTCAAATGTGATGCAGCGATTTGAATCGGATGTACTCCAATGATATAAAACATTTCTTCTCGTGAGACGTTTAAGTAAATAAAACCAATTGATACTACTCGTGGAAGAACACATTCGAAACATTGAATATTGAAGTTTTTTTTTTCGTAACAGAGTACGAAGAATAAAACTTAATCAATAATTGTCTTACTTTTTGTTATGCGTTATTAGTTCATAGACTCAAAACAATCTGTATGGTAGAATGTTGAAATCACTAAATAGATGAACTGTCTGCATATTAAACTATGACAAACATCTATAATTCTGAGAGAGAATATTGTTGTATATATCTATACTTTAAGCCCTATTTGCTCTTATTTTCTAAGTACGAAATAAAGAAGTGTCCAAAGTATAATGCCCTCTCTCAGAATTATTGATGTTTCTCATAGCGTAATATGTAAATAATGGATCTGTGTAATGATAGCAGCATTCTACAATACAGATTAAGATATCATTCGACAGTTCTGAGTCTATCAAGTGGAAATGTACAACAAAAAGTAAGATAGTTAATAATTAACTATTATCTCTCGAACTCTATTGCACAAAA